TGGTTGCTGGACTTTTGGCAGCTTGTTCGAAGCTTTTAAAGGGAACACTGCAAGTGTACACAACCAGGTCTGATAGCTCCGGAGTTATCTTGGAGACGCCTGCCTGACATCACATGCACATACACAGAAACCAACTGAATTAGTCACCATCCAGAAGTGGTCAGAGGTACTGTTTCTAGGATAGTGTCGTACCAACCTTTTTATCCTCCTTCCTTCTGGGTTTCCCTTCTATGCGGCTGGTCTCCTCATCTGAGGAACTGAGGTCTGAAGAGCTGGACGAGCATTCCTCCAACCTCTCCTTCTTCCCCTTCACTAGGACTTTACCTTTAAGAGCCTACACACACACACACACACACACACGCACACACGCACACACACACACACACACACACACACACACACACACACACACACACACACACACACACACACACACAATGTTTGTTCTGGTGGCCCACATTAATAATAGAACATGTTTTAAAGAATATGTGTCTACTGTGCTCAGAATACAATCACCAGCTCTTCTCCGTTTGTACTCTTCCAACCCTTGCCGATGCCGGGATGTCCCTGATCCCACATCGCTTTGGAGTTCATCACTGGACTAGCCCCCTTAACAGGTAACCCAATTCTAACTATTGTAGACCATTTTTCTAAAGCAGCTAATTTCATCGCCCTGGCTAGGCTACGCTTTGTTCTGGAAACCACTCAACTCATCACTGACCATGTTTTCTGCCTGCCACAGTCCCCACTTCCTGAGTTTGGAAAAAATTCTGTACTTCCCTCTGAGCCCAGTTCAGTCTCTGTTCTGGTTTTCACGCACAGAGTAATGGCCAGGCCGATAGGGCCAATCAGGAGATGGAGACCACCCTCCGCTGTGCTGCCACATCCAACCCTGCACACATTAACCTTTTCTGCCATTGGTCTTTCTCCTTTTGAGGCATTAGTGATCTGCCTATTGATCACGATAAGCGTTACATAATTTTCACCTAGTTAGACGCAGATTTTTCCTATCGTATAGAGAAGTTTTTCCTATTGTAAAGCTCTAAACATATTTGTTACACTTATACACTTGTGATACATGAAGGTAACTGCAGTTATAGCATAATCTTCCCAATAGAGCTCTCTGAGCAGTGCTCAAATTTTAGATAAAATTTAGTAATGTTCACAGACTGAAAACTGATTACAGGCCTAAATAATTGTCTCATGAAAGGGGGTACTTTCACATTTTTCTGTAATGCTTTTGAATATATTAAATTCTTACTGCATAACTATGTTACATGAGAAAAATGTCAAAGGGCTCTGAAAAAATCTCATGAGAGATAAAAGACACATGAAACATTTACTGCAAGTTTTCCCATACCAGGCTGAAACAAAGCTACAAATGTTCTAAGGTTTTACCAGAAGTATCAGAGGTCAGAACAAATGTATTTAATTGTATTAGTTTCAGTTATAATAAAAGATGGTAAGCAGTCTTACCAGCTGTGAAAAATACTGACAGCTGCCAGTGTTACACCTCAGCCTCCTAGTAATTATTGTATAAATGTAAGACTCCTAGGTGACTTCCTTCTTGAGTTACAGTATTCACAAGAATTTTAGAAAAATAGACCTCTGACCGTGAAGGTCCCCGAGATTCAAATTCATTTGAGGTTTTTAGTAAATGAACCTATGGCATTAATTTAAAAATCCTACGTCGCCATCTTTATCATGTTTTAAAGTTGGGTGTCCACGCCTGGCAGAGTGATGACGGTACCCTATCAGCCTTTTACAGCTGAGGATTAAAAACTGTAAAAGTGGTTGGAGACTGAAAAACTTTTATAGGCCATTGAAATCCAGCCAGCAATGTCCACCTGCCAATGAAAAGTATCAAGCACAATACATATATCTCTTTGTATGGATCATTTTTATCTTTATTAATCTGATGAAAACTGTAATTGTGAGAACAATCTACATGTGGTTTAATTAACCCAGGAATATTTACAGGTCCCACATAAAGTTATGTTTGCTATCAGTGGATTTAGTAGTGCTAATGGGAACTGAACTTTCACTGATTACTTGACTACTTACCTCTGGGGAAGGCAAATTGTGGGAATCCAGGCCTTCAAGAGGCTTTGTTAGAAATTTGTCTCCCAGAATGGAGTGCAGATGTCTAGCCATAACTTTCTGCTGCTCCAGAGAGCAGTGGTTCTCCAAAGACAGGATTAGAGGGTAGGGAGAGGACTGGGACAGACACAATGTTGGAAAGTCAGTGAGAAAAGTATTTTCTGTAGACCAGAGAAAAATAAGGAAATTATCACTTGGCCTGTCAGCAAAATTGTCACTGTGGCTAATGTCGATTTATAACACACCTTCCTCTTGTGTTAGGGTTGGCACCAACCTGTTTTTAGGTTTTAAATGCATAGAAGTGCTATTTAAATTTGTTTATTGCATCAAGCCTTTTTGACTTTGTCAGGAACCTCAATTTAAACAAAATAAAATAAAAAAAAAATTTCACAAAATTACAAAATGCTTTGGCAAAAGTTATGACTTTTGTGTTGTTAGGGTCGGTTCTGACCCAGTTAAAATGTAAGATTATGAAATAATCAGTGCCAAAACTAAAATCATAAACACACTGAGCTCACTAACACTGTCGGAGAGAAGTTAGGGGCTTCTCTGTCTGTTTGTCTCCTCAGAACAAACAGCCCCTTTTATCCCTACTGCTTGATTGAAAAGGTAATCCAGATGGAAATGTATAAAAATGTAAGACATGTAAAGATGTTGGTGACATGCAGAGTATACATCTCCGGTTTGCAGCATGCAAAAATGAGAAGATTTACAATAAGCCAAGTTCTGCATCATATCTTTGAATAGAATTAGCCAGAAGACACAAAACAGCATAGCAATATGGACAAGCCAGTTTCTGAGGAGCTGGATGATAGAGAATGTCAACCACGGGATACAACAAAGATACATCTGATAAGTCTGATGAGGAGGTCACAGGTGCTGAAGCTGCTTCTGTTCTGCTGAAACATACAAATCCAAAAGTGGTCACATCTCTTGGAGTGCAGTATCTCCTGGCTTGCATGGCAGGGCCACTGCTGAAAATGTCACCAAAATGACCCCTGGGATTACCAGGTGTGCCGTGACAAGAATACGTGACATCAAGACATGTTTTCATTTGTTATTGATTTCACCACTTTTCCTAAAAGTCATTATTGCTATTACAATGCTTTAAAGAAAAAACAGTCCATGGCAACATTTGGAATGTCACCTCTGGGAATATCTGGATGCTTATATTGGTGCATTATAAACACTGATAGTTTCTGGATGCATCGCCAGGCAGAATCTTTTTCTTTTGAATGGTATTAAAAGTCCTCAGATTTGACAACAGTGGTACTAGAGCAAAAACTGACAAGCTTGCCCCATCAGAGATGTATGGGAGAGATTGGTGCATCTCCTTCCACTGATGTTCAACCCAGGGCAGAGGTGACAGCAGATGAACATTTTGTCCCTTTCATGGAAAAATGCTCTATCTGGCAACATAACACCAGCCAGACTGGCAAAAAAGACACAGAAATCCATGCATAGCTGATGCAAAAACTGCAATGCACAGAATCTACAGACTTACACAGACTAATGTGCAATTAGTATCCCTGTGAAAAATCAAGGAAAACTTCTAATCCTTAATATGATTACACGTGACAATATCATGTGCGACAATTTCTTTACCATCTATGACCTTGGATAAGGACTTCAGGAAGAAACTTACCATGGTGGACACAATAAAACGAAGGCAAGCAAAACAAAAAAACTTGAACTGACCCCTGAAGGACAGGGCTCCACTTTCTTTAAAATGTGCTTTATAGAGACAACCATTGTTGTTTAATACTGTCCCCAAAAAACTCTCCAACTAAATATGTATGCATTAAACTGACCTGTAACACCACAGATCTTACAATAGTTAATAACATTAAAATAAAGAATAAATAAAACAAATTATTTTAGAGATATATTCTAGTAGTTGCAATTAATAGTAAGGTAACATAAAAAATCTCTTGAGGTTCAGTTTACCATTTTTTTCGATTGAAAAGGTATCCTGTAAAAAAGCCCTGTGGGCCACATTAAAACCAATCTTTTCATAGATAAGGAAGCTGAAGAAGGTAACCAACAGGTAACAAACAAATTGGATGATAAATTATTGTTTTGAGGGTATCGTTTTGGCTGATTTGAGGCACGGTCAAAACTGACACGTTAACATAAGAGACAGTAACAGAAAGCTAACACAAGAGGAAGGACAAGCAGTAAAAATCAAAGAACATATACAGCAGCAGCATCTATATCTATATATCTCAAGACATAAGTCAAATCATCAGAATGGACAAACATATATTTACCATCACTAATGATGCATTCAGATGAGCAAAACTAGCTTCTAGAAGTCATTCATGATGGTTCCAAATATATAACTATATATATACATATCTGAACATTGAGAATGTCAGCACAGTGTTAGCATTTGAAGCTTCTGCTGATTGTGTGAGGAATTGTTTTTGGCTCATTGTGGTCTCTTTAATGTCAGGTAATCAAGGTAAGAATTCTATAATCTGTGGACTAAAGCAGCATCTATACAGGAAGCAATCTGATTATTGAGCATTACTTTGCAGCTGATGGTTGGTTGTTAGAACACATTCAAGGCTCCAATTAGCTAGTTAACCCTCTAATATATTTACACTACTGTAATAAGTCAGTCAATGACATCTGCAGTAGTTGCTTAGATTGTTTGAAATACCATACTACACAATTTCTACAGTAAGATTTCATTTTCTGCAGAGAACTCTTGGTTACAGTGAAGTACTCACTTTGAAAGCATACTCATTGATAGTCTCAATTACTTCAACAAAGGGCACTTTGGAAGTAAGTGTGTGTCCATGATAGATAACTGGTTCTCCTTTGTCTCCATCCCAACAGTCCAGCTCCACACACCGACAACCATGTTTTAGAGCTCTAAGAGACAAATTCAAGCTTTGTGAGTAAAGGTGTACCTTGGGTTAAGAAAAAATTACATCTTAAACACCTTTTATTACATATTTCTGAAGTAAAGTAAATTTAAAGTAACTTAAAAAAATTATGGCATTTAATTACTTTTTGGACAAATGTAACATCAACATATGACTGTTCTAAGCATATCAAATCCTATAACAAAGTACATAAAGGCAAAATGGCTATATAGTATTTTGTAGAAGAGATTGCTTTTGAAAATTTATATCTGTGATCTTTTTGGCTAATGTTACTTGCATACTTGCATGCCTGCTTACAATGAATATTTGCCAGCTATCTGACATTTTCCATTTTCCACCTACTTCATCAGTAAACAATACAAATGGTGCACCTGTCACGACCTGCGGGATCGGCAAGGCGCTGATCATAATCTCCCCACTCCTGGCTCTCCTTTTCTATCTCTCTCTCCCCCTCTCTCCCTCTCTCTCCTGTTTTGCCGGGGCGGAACTCATGGCGGCTTCACGCCCTCGGCCCACGCCTTCCTGGATTGGGAACACCTGGGCCTCATCAGACCAGCTGGTATTTTAGAGGGAGGAGGTCAGCTGTTCAACGCTGGATTGTTGTGAGGACTCTAGTCAGTACACGTCGAGCCCAAGTTTCCCATGCCTCCGCCTCAGAAAGTTAACGTGTGTCTCTGTGTTCTAGATTCCCCGGACCCGTCCCCGTGTTTCCCCGTGTGGAGTGTGGAAGGAGTGACTGGTCACTAGCGGAGAGAGAAAGGTTGGCGTGAGCGCGTGTGTGATTCCCCTGTTTTCCCTGGAACCCTGCCTCTCACATCTTGTTTAAAGCACTATCCTGGCACTGTCTGTAAATACACTTGGTGGAGATCTTGTAAATAAACCGTCTCTGTTAAAACACAACTCCGGAGTCCTGCGAGTGGATCCTCAGAGCAACCCGTGACAGCACCATCAGATTCACGCGGAATAGCTGAGTTATAGCTGGCTGGCTAACTGTATCTTGTTTGGTTAAGTTATACTTAGTAAAAGTATGCGTGAGTGGAATTATCTGGCTTGCCAAATTAACTCACCAGCTGTAATGCGCCATGACTTTAACTTATGTATAATGTTGAACAATGCCATGGTATAAACATTTCTACACTAAAGTATAATTGCCAACATGGGGTTGGTTAGCCAGCTAGTTAAAACTTGTACATGTGGGTTCATTTGTCAATGGTAACTTTTGTTAACAGTACCAAATTCCCAGGTATATACACCAACATTATGACCACCTGCCTAATATTGTGTTTATACCCTTTTGCTCACAGAAAAGCTCTGACCTGTTGAGGACTCCATTGCACCCCTGAAGACACGTTACAGTATCTGGCACCAAGATTTTAGCAACAGATCGTTTAAGTCCTGCAAGTTGTCAGTTGTGGCCTCAATGGATTGGGCTTGTTTGTCTAGAACATTCCAAAGTTGGATTGAGATCTGGGGAATTTCTGAGGTCAGTATCTTGTCCAAGGACACTTTGGCATGCAACCAGAGACCAACCTTCAAATTAGCAGACCACCTGCTCTACCTCCTAAGCTACAGCCACCCAGGATGAAGTGATAGTCGTGACAGTCTTTTTCACTTCACTTGTCAGTGGTCATAACAGCTGAGAACAATTCTGAGAACAGAGCAGATATGCGAAGAAGCACTACGTAGTTTATCCACCTATTCCTGACACTAATCTTGATCTGAGTTATGATGTCAGTGGGCTTAGCTAGGCAGCCCAGACAACGCCATCCAGCTGTTTATAGGGGACTGACAAGTACTGCTGCATTTTGTGTGTTATGATTGGTTTTTACAAAAATTCTAATTCACCTTGTTCAGAATTTTGTGAGACAATTTAAAGTATAATAATTTAGTACAAACCTCTCCTACAATAATAATAGTATACTGCCTTTGTCAATAATAGTGAAATAGGTAGGTTACCAAATTAATAAATGTATTTGCACACGGCCTAGTTCACAATCACTGCCCTGTTGCTGTTACCGTATGTAAGGCTCTGTGCTGCTGTTCCCAGTCAGCTGGTCCTTAGTGAGGTAGGTGTTGTGGGATGAGGAGATGAAGTAGTGCGACAGTGGGTGTGCCATGTCTTGGTAAACTCTAGCGTGTTCTGGGTTAAACACACAGTTTTCCTTTGACAACATGTACATGGTGAAACCATTGGGAGTCATGAAGCTATTCTTCTGGGCTGCAATGGGCAAAGAGAAACAAAGTTTAAAAAATAGGGTATTAAATAAACATCATTTTTATTCTTATAATTAAAAATAATAATAAAAATGCCTTAATTTTTTGTAGCACAGAAACAGAGGGGGAAGACATTCAGAAGGGATGCGACTGGCCAGGAATCAAACTGGTTGACTGGTTGCTGATGTATCCATGTAGACTGCATCCTCTTCACTCATTTACAGCTTTTCAACTCTTTTTATATCAGTCTGAATTAATCTTCATGTGCCTATGATTAGTCAATTGATACCAGGAAAATACAGTAGACACACAGAGGAGCAGTCTGGAGCAGCCTATGTATACTCAGTATACACAGACTATTCTATAAAGACTTGAATCTCCTTCAGGTCTGATGTAAACTGAAACACTTCAGCTTATCTGATCACTTACCTCATCAATCCTTGTGTTTTCATTTGCTCTAGCCAGAATGTGTTACTGCTTATCCCTCAGACAGACTGGGAATAAATATAGAATTACCCCATCCCATTGTGATATTCTGTTCTGTCCTATTAGACATCTATGTGAAATGTTGTCAGGTCAGACTTGGTGTATGAATCTTTGAGTTGTGGCCAAACTGTGTTTTCCAGTCAAAATGTCCTTTGTACCACAAACTTCATCCTTTAGCACAGCTGAATATTTGTCAGGTAAGCTTTGCTATTTTTAAAGTATTTTAATTCTCCAATCTTATAATTTATTGTTACTAGTACCGTACCCCACTCATTAAGTTCATAGGTGAGTATGAGGCTTTGGGCATGAACGAGTGAGGCATCCTCCCCCTGGTCCTTTAGGAAATCCCTCAGGTCCACAGCTGAAAGCACACAGCCATTTGCAGAGTAGCGAATGAATATGATGTCCAGTTCTGGCCTTCGTAACAACTCCCTGCAGAAAACTTCAATCTCTCCATGATCGAGACGACCGTCACCTGATTGGTCACATTTCTATCAGAAAGACGGAAATAATAGCAGTTTGTTAATGTGCAAATAGAACATGATTTGCTGTGGGGGTGTTATCTCTACCCACTTTTGGTCTATATATCCCTGTATCTGCTATATTATTTTTTATCCCTGGTGGGGATAGCTACGTAAAAATCCAGTGTTGTGAAAAAGTGAGCAGTGCCTAACCGGTCCAGGAGCTCATCGACCTGGGGCATCGGATAAGGATATTCCACACAGAACCATACAGACCCATCTTTCTTCACCACAAGAACTAAGGGGCTACACCACACACTGTTTGACTCTTCTATCACTCCTATTTTCAGCAATTCTCTCAACAATTTGCCTCTTGCTCAGGTAACCTGTAGGGCTGTAAACACACCGCCACGCCAGGTCGCTCTATGCATGCCTATGCAAAATGGTGCTCTATGAGCGAAGTATGACGTGCAGAGGTGAGAACACATCTGCAAAACGCTGTTGGATACACCAACATCCACTCTCTGGCCCTGTGTGAGATGTTTATTACAATGGAGAGAGGCAGGAATGTTTGAATTTGGCATCTCTGGCCCCAATTCATCTCTCTCCTCTCCTGGTTTAGATTTCATGCCCAATAATTTGTACAGCTGTTTAAGTGTGTGAGACATGAATGACCTGCCCTGGTCAGTCAGGAATCTCTTTTGGGCTGCCAACTCAAGAGATGCCCTGAACAGCGCCTGCGCAACACTCTTTGCAGAGATGGTGCCCAGCATCACTGCTTCCGAGGGTTGCTTTGCATAATCCACCATAACTAATACAAAGCGATAGCCACGTACCCTTCGGTGAAATGGCCTGATGAGGTCCATGCCAATGCGCTCAAACGGCACTTCCATTATTGGTAGTGGGCAAAAAGGTGCTTTTACGATAGCTGGCTGGTTAACCAGCTAACATTCCTTGCATGACGCATACCATCAGCGCACATCTGCTCGGGCCTGGCCAATAAGATTGGGCTATTATTCGCTCCAGAGGTTTATCATATCCCATATGCCCTGCAATGGGGTTATAATGAGCCGCCTGGAAAATAATTTCTCGACGGCTTTTCAGCACCAACAACTGTGTGAGTGTCACAACTCACTTGATAAAGCCTATTGTTCAATAATACAAAGTGTGGGTAGGCCTGCGCAGCTTCAGGGCACACCAGGTGACCATCAATTTCTATCACTTGGTCGAAGGCTGAGTGTGGGGTGTCATCATAAGACTGCTCCAGTGGGAAATCTCCCCTCGGGTGAATCACTGGTGCCGGCGGATCCTCCCTAGAAGTACATGTCACCGCTGAATGCCGCGCAGACACTACGTGCTACTGCACTGTAAAATATTGTGTGATATTTGTGAATGCTCCCATGCACACACTTAACCGCACTTTGCTTCCAACAATGCTCTGGGGTGAACCAAGCTTTGATGCACGAGGGTCTGCGTACAGGCCATGTCCACCAAAGTCTGGTGTATATCTCCTTGACACCTTACTAATATGCGGTAAGTCTGGTTGGGCCCAGAACACCCGCCTGACCTCCATCAGTGGACACTCCCGTTGCAGGTGTCCCGGCTGCCTGCGCCACCCCCTGTGGCTCGGGTGCCTGTTGTTGCTCGGCTCCGGGTTGGCAGGTTCGCTAGGACAGATTTGAGGACTGCAGAGGCGGAGGTCGCTCCGCTGGGGCTGGGCCAGGGGGCCTCCTCCTCGACGCAGTTACCGGCGGTTGCCTGCTGACCAGTTGGTGATCTTCAGCCAGGGCTGGTAACAGCGGACCATGTTGCCTCTCTGGGCAGCCCCTCCACAAACTGCTCCAGGACAATCATTGAGAGCATCCACGCCTCGCCCTCTGATGGCTCGGGCTGCAGCCATCTCATCGCGGCATTGTGCAGCCTACTAGCCCAGGCGAACAGCTGATCCCCCGCCTGCCACAAAACCGCCTGCAATGGTCCTCTGGGGAGAGCCCAGGCGAACGTCCTCAAAACGCCCCCCTGACACAGGGGGGTAGGATCACGGCCGCCGTCTGGGCCACTCCGGATAGCAGCAGCAGTAGCCGCGGAACCCACTCCACAGCAGGCCACTGGCATGCCTCAGCACTAACCTGGAACGCCTCCATGAGGACCTGGGGATCATCCCCGTCCCCTTTCCGGTGCATGGCCACCATGAGAGGAGGGGATCGCAGCGGTGCGGCTGCCCTGTCCAGTCTCTCCCGCACACTTGTTTGTTGCTCTGCCTGAGCCCAAAGCTCATTCAGCTGGTCTTTGTGCACTGCTGCCTGCTCTTGGTGCATCACTATATCTGCCAAGTAGGTGCAGCAGCTGCACAGGTGCCGCAGACTGCGGGACCACCACTGTGAAATGAATGGACCCCACGTAGCCTCAGGTGACAGTTTTATGGTGTTATTAACAATACGTTATCCTTTTTCCTGATGTCAGGAGGTCAGCTTTTCAGCTGCTTCTCCACTCCACACTCAGCTCCTCTCTTGAGCCCCTGCGTCACTGAAATAGGGACAGTCTGATTATTGAGTGGCAGCAGCTGCCCTGGCAGCCACCCTGGCACTGCACCTTGAGCCCACTTAACCACCCCCACACTGCAGCGGAGCCAGAAGCAACACCCCCGCCATATGCACACTCCAAGTGTGGGATGAATAACTAACCCAAATTGAGGAGTCTACAGTGGCTTGCAAAAGTATTCGGCCCCCTTGAACTTTTCCACATTTTGTCACATTACAGCCACAAACATGAATCAATTTTATTGGAATTCCATGTGAAAGACCAACACAAAGTGGTGCACACGTGAGAAGTGGAACGAAAATCATACATGATTCCAAAAATTTTTTACAAATAAATAACTGAAAAGTGGGGTGTGTGTAATTATTCAGCCCCTGAGTCAATACTTTGTCGAACCAGCTTTTGCTGCAGTTACAGCTGCCAGTCTTTTAGGGTCTGTCTCTACCAGCTTTGCACATCTAGACACTGAAATCTTTGCCCATTCTTCTTTGCAAAACAGCTCCAGCTCAGTCAGATTAGATGGACAGCGTTTGTGAACAGCAGTTTTCAGATCTTGCCACAGATTCTCGATTGGACTTAGATCTGGACTTTGACTGGGCCGTTCTAACACATGGATATGTTTTGTTTTAAACCATCCCATTGTTGCCCTGGCTTTATGTTCAGGGTCGTTGTCCTGCTGGAAGGTGAACCTCCGCCCCAGTCTCAAGTCTTTTGCCGACTCCAAGAGGTTTTCTTCCAAGGTTGCCCTGTATTTGGCTCCATCCATCTTCCCATCAACTCTGACCAGCTTCCCTGTCCCTGCTGAAGAGAAGCCCCCCCAGAGCATGATGCTGCCACCACCATATCTGACAGTTGGGATGGTGTGTTCAGAGTGATGTGCAGTGGTAGTTTTCCGCCACACATAGCGTTTTGCATTTTGGTCTCATCTGACCAGAGCAGCTTCTTCCACATGTTTGCTGTGTCCCCCACATGGCTTGTGGCAAACTGCAAACAGGACTTCTTATGGTTTTCTGTTAACAATGGCTTTCTTCTTGCCACTCTTCCATAAAGGCCAACTTTGTGCAGTGCACGACTAATAGTTGTCCTGTGGACAGATTCCCCCACCTGAGCTGTAGATCTCTGCAGCTCGTCCAGAGTCCCCATGGGCCTCTTGGCTGCATTTCTGATCAGCGCTCTCCTTGTTCGGCCTGTGAGTTTAGGTGGACGGCCTTGTCTTGGTAGGTTTACAGTTGTGCCATACTCCTTCCATTTCTGAATGATGGCTTGAACAGTGCTCCATGGGATGTTCAAGGCTTGGGAAACCTTTTTGTAGCCTAAGCCTGCTTTAAATTTCTCAATAACTTTATCCCTGGCCTGTCTGGTGTGTTGTTTGGACTTCATGGTGTTGTTGCTCCCAATATTCTCTTAGACAACCTCTGAGGCCGTCACAGAGCAGCTGTATTTGTACTGACATTAGATTACACACAGGTGCACTCTATTTAGTCATTAGCACTCATCAGGCAACATCTATGGGCGACATTCAGGATTTTGTTCACAAGTGAGAGGAGTGCGGAATATGAGATCAACAAACAGACTACATGGCAGTCCACTGTAATAAAGAGAGAGCTGAGCGTAAATGTGAAGGTGTCAATTTACTGGTTAGTCTACGTTCCTACCCTTTCCTATGGTCACAAGCTCTGAGTACTAACCAAATAAAGTCATCACCATTTGTATACAATATAACTGAAAAACCCACACTGCGCGCCAAGAGGGGAAATCAATACTCCAGACAGAATGGCTATAAACCCGTAAAGTTAGCTTTAATTTAAATGATTGACTTTAATTACTTAAATTAAGCAGTGTGTTCTGCTACCTGGAAGAGGCTGCGAGAATACTGGTCATTCAAGTCAATATTGATCATCTGCAGCAGAATCTGAACCTCATCGTAGCTCATCTTGTCGTCGCGGTTTCGGTCAGCCCGACTCATATAAGCATGAATCCAGGTGACACTGTCAAGGAAGCACTGGTGAGCCATATGGTGTATTTTAACATGAAGTCTCAGTGGTTACCTCTTACAGTGCTAACTCTCTAGTTTGGATCTCTTGGTTCCCAGTGGTCAACAAATTATAATTAAATAATAATAATAATAATTATTAAATGTACACAAAGTAGTGCTTCTATAAATCCAAATGAACAGGGATGTATGTCCACCCCCACAAAAATCAAGGATATTGGTCAAGTTTCTCCTTCTGGGTCATGTTGTCCATCCTCTCCTGCAGGGTACGGATGCCACGGGCCCAGCACTGAGCTTCTTCTTGGCTTTGGCAGAGGAGATCCAGGCTTTTACGAGACCCTTTGAAGACCACTGTTAAACACTGGTTTTCAGGTACTGAGCCAACCATCTGCTGCAATGTTTCTGACTGGCAACCTTCGTGCACACACTCCACTTCCATGATGGAGACTGGAGGATGAAGAAAGAAATAAAGTGAGCAAAGAATTATTCAAATATATTCACACCTTGTGATTGTTATGGTCCTGACAGAGAGTTTTAAGATTTTTTTCTTTTATCTTTGTTTATTATTTGTTATGATACACTGTGTAGTGAGCAGAGAATTGGACCCAATATGCAGGACTCAGAAACAGAACTGAACTCAAAAGGCAGCTTTATTCCTGGACATGCAGCAAACCAAAATGCAAAGAACTTAAGTAAGCAGATACTGGTGAACATTAGCTAGAGAACTACACTGAGAAATAGACAGGGCACACAGCTATGGGAAGATCACAACAAGTGACAGAAGGAAACAGGGGGCTTAAATACCCATGAGATATGGGTAAAGGTGAAACACCTGGAGAACACAGCTGAGCAGAATCCACTAACAAAGCGAGGAAGGCAAAGCAGAACATAACACACACGAGACTATAACTAAACTCAGAAGCACAAGAGAACAATATATACAGAGACAACTCTTTTGTAATTTCAAAGAAATGAGCACATCCAGAACCAAGCTCGAAGACCCAGGACCATGACACTATTAGGTTTTCCACCCAGTTCTTGGTTTGTTTGTTCTTTAGAATTTGGTTCTTTACTTATTCTGGTTTCCTTAGTTTCCTCTTATGTACTGTTACCACACCTTTGTCTCTGTGGTTAGTAACTTCCTGTTTTAATTTGGAAGTCTTTTGCCTTCTGTGTTGTGCTTATAGTTTTACTTCCCCTATCACTGTTTAGTTTCACTGCTTTCTTCTCACCGATCTGTTTTCCTAATTTAGCCCTCAATGTGCTCCGATGTGTGTATAACCTGTCTTTCACTTTAAGCTGACTGTATCACACTGTTGCCTACTTATGTATTTCCCTGTTATTTTGGATTTTGTTTCATGTATTTCTGTTTACTGTTTGTCTCTGCATTTATAGACCTTTTCCGTCTTTTTCAACCAAATGGCTCTCATTATGTTTTGAACCTTGTCCTGTCACATTTTGGATGTGGGTTCTAACATTCTGCACTTCACTAAGATGACAGAACAAGGCAACCAGAACATGGATGCAGAAGATATAGCAATCCTTTCCAAGGACCTGAAGGAGGAATTTAGGAAGCTTTTTGGAATTTCTACCTAGATTTTTGGATCTACACATATTAAAAGTCTGTGGGCTGAAGGCCAGCATGCTGATGATGCTGATGCCATTGCCAGCCCCCATCACAGCCCAGTCTCAAAATGGGCTCTGCCTCTAGGGGACTCTCATCCCTACCATTGATAATGGGCTCCAACCAAGCTTTTGGAGGGGTCTCCTCTGCCGATGTCAGCCTCCTCCCAACCCCCCCTGAATGATCATGACCTTTATCACCAGCTGCCATTCACCCCCTCCAAAGGGTCTCCAACCTGGGTATTGCTGGCTGTCATCACTGGCCACCGACTGCCAAAACAGGCCTACTGGCCACCTCCTCGGCCATTGCTGGGCCCCGGGCTCACTCCGAGAACTGTCTCTCTTCATTTGGGTAAACCCATAAAACTGCTTCTCTGCTTTGTCCTGCAGCCAGGCCAACCCACAGGACTGTCTTTGTACCTTGCATCACCTTTGAACCGGCTCTCTGAACATATTTTCCTTTCCCTTTGGCCTCCTCTGCCTCTTGATTCTGCACGTAGGCCTTTCTTTTCCAGCTTTTGGACTCTATGTTTGTTTTAGTAAGACACTTGTTTGTGTCTAACAAGCTTTTTTTATTTCCACATGTCAAGTCCAATTACAACCATCTACAAGTTTTTTGAAATACATCTGAGAAGATTATGGAATGAAGAGTACAAAGATTTAGCTTCAATGTGGGGATGAAATGAATCTTATTTAGAAGTGTAACATACTAGAGGAAAACCATCTCTGTAATGATCTTGGATGTCAGGAGTAAACCACAGAACTGGCACACCAAATCCAGTGCCAATTAAAGGCCCTGTACTGTACTTGGGAGTGGCTGAGTCATATGTTAACTACACAGCATCAAACCCACAGGCTCCAAGGCGGACTCCCGCCATATGTTTTGCAATCCCACTATTTGAACTAGAGAAAGGATCTTATGCTCAAAATAGATGAGCTCTATAATCAGGGCAACATGTGTGACCCTCAGATAGTGAAGGAGGGAGTACAAAGTACAGAGCAGCAAACTGTATTTAAAATGATCAAAAATAGATACAGTACATGGACATTTTACCTTACACACCCAGCCACCACTGAGCAGCCATTTGTTCTCCAGAAGGAAAGGCTACAGCGTATTACATAGGTTATATGTAATGTCATAGTTCTCTTTCCATATGAGCTAATCTAGTTACTTTAATCACTTTAGCTAAACATAATGATGTTGGTCAGCATGTCTGCATAGTAACCCTTTATGATAACAATGATCAATAAACAGAAAAATGCATAGGTAATTAAACTTTACTTCACTGTTAACAAATAATTAGACCATGATTTTTCTTTAGATTATTTATTTATGTATTAAATGAATTTAAAAATGGGAGAAAAACATCTTTCTACCACAGGCCATGGTCTATTGATGATGATTACATCTTGACCAAAACTTGAGACACATTTTCGGCTCACGCATTAGTGATCTTTAAAAAGAAGCAGGTGTGATTATTTATCAAAGTATCAATGGCTCGATTCCTGTTTCTTTAGACAACTTATCATATTGTTCCTGGACAAGATAGTGAACCCAAATTGCCCCTGAAACGTCCACTGGAGTGTGTGTAATAGATAAAAAGCCATGCAATACAGTTCTGAATGAGCGCGTTTGTGAATTTATAACAGTGCTGTTAGTGTTTCGCTAAGAGCATCAAAGCACTACATTAAGTGCCATTACAAAGTATTTGGGGCGATCGTGGCTCAAGAGTTAGGAGTTCGCCTTGTAATCGGAAGGTTGCCTGTTCGAGCCCCGGCTCGGACAGTCTCGGTCGTTGTGTCCTTGGGCAAGACACTTCACCCGTTGCCTACTGGTGGTGGTCAGAGGGCCCGGTGGCGCCAGTGTCCGGCAGCCTCGCCTCTGTCAGTGCGCCCCAGGGTGGCTGTGGCTACAATGTAGCTGCCATCACCAATGTGTGAATGTGTGCGTGAATGGGTGGATGACTGAATGTAGTGTAAAGCGCTTTGGGGTCCTTAGGGACTAGTAAAAGCGCTATACAAATACAGGCCATTTACCATTTATTTGCCCCCTTACTGATGTCCTAGTTTTTGCATATTTCTAACACTTACACATTTCAGATCATCAAATACATTTAGACAAAGATAAGATATTTATGAATCGCAGATATGTGTTTGAAAAGTTTGTATGCACAATTTGCACACTGATTTTTTGTGTATGCACTGCTGAGGCGCACTGACAAACACACTGAGAACTCCACTTCTGGCTTATAAAAACTCAAAATGAAGGTTTTGGAGTGGCCAAGTCAATGTCTGGACTCAAATTAAGACTGAGATGCTATGGCCTGACCTTAAACAGGTCCTCCATGTTCAAACATTTCCAACATAACAGAATTAAAAACATTTTGCACGTAAGAGTAAGTCAAAATTTCTCCACAACTGTGTGAAATAGTCATTCCCAGTTATTCCAAATACTTGATTGTGGTTTCTGTTGTCAAGGAGCGCACAAAAAGTTATTAGGTTTTTAGACAGGTACAGACAGGTTTGGATGGCTTTTTTTCCATTAATAAATTAAATGATTTAAAAACTTTATTTTGTATTTACTCGGCTTATCTTTGTCTTACAATAGAATTTGTTTGATGATCTTTGTGTTTTATAATCATCAGCACTGTATAATATATGTTATATGAAAATAATCATTTATTTATTCTGTGATCATGTAACAGTGTGGACTGAAACTTGTTATAGTTTAATGTTTCATTTACAACTGACAATTCAAATTCATTTAGTGTCAATAGTGTGATGCTGCATACAACTTACAGGATTGTTGTTCCTTGGCTCGGCTGGATGTTTTGTATGATTGACACCAAACGGTGACACCATCTTCCAGCAACTTCAGAATCCGACGCTTCTGCCAGCGAGGCGAGCGAACCTTCCCATGTAATGATTTCATATGTTACAATACATGTAATATATAGCATTCTCAAACTACTTCTAACCGCTACAAATGGTTTATAATTATTGATACCTTCACCATACTAGAGCCCTGCAGCATCTGCCTCACATCTTCATCATTTTGCACTCCTAGAAAGCATAGAGACAAAATGATGGTCGATTAAAATTATGTTATAAACACTATATTTATATACTGTATTTGGGTGTGTATAAAATAGCAGTGAGCATACACCTAATTATAATACGATTCAAATTCAGTAGCACTGGGATAGGCCGAAGAAAGAACAGGGAGGGCATAAAGAGAGGAAAAAGAGATCAGAGTTAAAATTAGAGGCTAGTGTGTATACATCTGCCACACCACAGCTGCTCGTGTGGGTACACTGTAATTGAAATATATCTTGGGTGGGTGGACAGAGAAAAATGGAAGGAAAAACTATAAAGACAACACTTGGAGCCATTATAAACTTGGGCCCCCCAAAAAAGTAACACCTCCAGAAATGTGCCTCATAGCTGAATGGATGTGTACTTCTGCTAGAGGAGATTCTTTATTATACAGTTATTCATTATAAAAAAAAATATGTCATTTTGCACCAGGCCACGAGCAATCCTTGTAGGGTTAGTTCTTATAACTTGGACATAGTTCTCTCCGTTTGTATGTCAATACTTGAAAGTACAAACTGTCAAAATTCTTGGTATCCCGTTTGTGGGTTCTTTTGTAGAATCTCATGAACTCTACGGCACGGAAGGAACCTTTCAGTGACGTAAGTGTATGGTGATTAGTCTAGAGCCCA